ATCTTGACATTAATAATTTAAAACCTTTTAACCAATTAAAGGGGGAAAAGAACGGACGAAAATCTCCATTCCCGCGTTTAACCTAATTTCATTTAACTTCCAAACTCTTCAAAACATTCGGAAATGAAATCAAATGTTTTCCATCAAAACGTGACAAATATAAAGTTACCAACTTAACACTCAAAACAAAAACTGCTCTCCGTTATTTTCTTAACTCGAATCCAAAAGTTGGGTCTTCCGCAAAAGACTTCATTTCGTTTCGACTCCAAACTTAGTTGCGCTTTGAATATTATTTTATTGGACCCCTCAAGTGAATCGACCAAAGTTTTTGAGTTTAAATAAGTTTACGATTGTGCACAAGTTCTTGCAAAACATGACGTTAAAAAAATAAGCTGAAGCTCAGTGGCGTACTTTTGAAGAAGTCATTGCCTGGGCAAGTGGACAGATATGAGCTGATTTCTGATAACATTTATTGAAAGGCCTTTGTCGTCACATTGACGCCATGATGCGGACTGATGATCAATTTTAAGTTCAAGCCAATTTAATAGAATCTGGCGCTACTCTAATAACAAAAGAACTTCCAGAAATCCACGTGCATTTAATCAAAAGAAATTCCAAGTCTCTCCAATATTTCTCAGAATGACAAAAACACGCACATTACACAGAAGCATAAACCACAAACCACAATACATTGTGTTTCGTGTACGACTGAATGTCTCGAACCGAACTACCACTTAGCACGTACAATCGATCATATCAAAGTTCAATAATAAACATTCATGAGCAAACGCATTCTAACATTTCTGGCTACGTTAATGATTGGGGATCTGTTCCAACGAAAAACAGGGCACTTCATTGTCAAGAATCAGTCACGACAAATAAAACTCAGTCACGACATTTTGACATTTTGAGGAATAAACAAGAAACACGAATGAAAAGATAACAGACAAGCATTTATTGTAGGATAAAAAAGGAAAGTAAAGGTGAATTTGTTTATCTGATACGATTTTTATGAATGCAAATGTAAAGATGGATATGATCTCAAGCAAAACAAGGTTGAAATAGAAATGAGGGGTGACAAATTGATGGAGAAAATCTGATGTCAGTTTCATAACAATTTCACATTGTTTTTTGGAGAATGTTGGAATGATTCACTCCCCTTTTGTTATACATTTTATTGCTATGTATGGGTAAAAAGGGATGGAACTTCGTGAAACAAAAAACATTTTGCTCAGCTCAATACTCTAAATAGACTAGAATCGTTTAAAGTTTAGGTTAGACGAATTAAATCAAGCTCATCAATTGGGTACTTGTCAACTAGTCAAATTCAATACATTTTCGAACTGTCAAAAACGACAGTTTTCTATGAATACTGTACGAGATTGTGTATGCGTTTTTTTAGCGTCAAACAGCATTCTTATTTCGTAAAAAAATGCTGGAAAGATGCTAAAATTAAGTTGGTCATAAAATCAATTACTGATAATATGATTATTTTTTAATATTTTATTGCATTGAACAGTTGAAATAATTTATTTTTGATTAAGGAAAGTACCCAATTCCCTAGCTAAAGTTTTATATGATTTCATAAAACATCAGAAATACGTGATCAGCAGTCAAATGATTTTCAAATTCCTATCCTTCCTATGACAGATACAAAAGCAAATATGAAACGTTAACAGCATTTACAATTCATTGTTCAAATTACATTGCTTGAAGATTCCCATATCAACAGACAAGACATAACTAGACAATGATGACTCACCAGACCCTGCCTGATTGCCTGCTGACGACGAGAACGGGTCCCACAGCTGTCATTACGACCACCTCACCTCTTATTTAAATCCTTATCTCAACAACACTAAGGTCCACAATGCATTGCACGAATCAGAAGCAATTAGGGTTATCATTAAGCAAGATTATTGGCGAGAGGTTGTTTTGTGTTGTATGATTTTGTTGAGATTGCGTAAGATGGCACTTAAGTCTGTTTCGGAGATAACACTTTTTGTGTTGAAAACATTAAAGTTAATTGGTGCTGACTCACAATCACAATTCCAATTTACCTATCTCGGCAAAACGTGTACAGACTACCGATTAAGGATTTCGTTCCAATGTTTTCATTTAATGTCCGTGTAAGCACGTAACTTAATTAAACGGAGGGCAGCCCTATTCTTTAATTTAGTTTTTAGCCCGAATGCGTAAGTACTTACTTATTTGGATTATCGACTTACCAGGAAATTTAAGCTGCTTTTATTATCACAAACTGGCATAAATGGAATAAATTTTAGCCTAGTAGTGTTTGCAAATAGATTTTCACTATTAAACTCCTTTCGAAGTACTTAAACACCATTGCCCAGTTCAAAGCATTCTACGAATAATAGTTACATATCAATAAACAGACTGGCAATAAGTGCCCAACCCACATCCTCAAAATTGGAGCATTCTCAGTACACCTGCTCATATACCTTTCCATTCATACTAACCAGGTTACAACAATAAACGTGTATACCCACGATATAAGTCAACTACTCTATGATATCTGTATAAATCAATGCTCAACATTAAATTGGTTTTATGTAAATGCTTTTAAAATCGATTTCATTCAACACGATCGGATAGTCAAAGCAAAGGTGTGCATTAAAATACAGTATCTATCATTATTAACATTATTCACTTTTTAGGGGATCTGGCAGCATTAAAGTTTAGAATAATAAAATTGCTACTATTCTGCATTAAAGTACTAGACTAAAGTCTTACATAAAAATTAAAATGCGCATTATGTTTAGTTCTATTCTATCTATAAAAAAATGACAAAACTGTTTCAAATAAAATTGCACTACTTCTAGAACCACGAGGAAACTGTGCATACAAAATATATTGTAACTATTCACGATCGTATTTCCTATTATTATCTAGCAGCTTGTAAGTACTTTTGTACTTAAAACGTAGTCAGGTCTTCAAAGGCCGTGTTCGGTTTACCGCAGCGCATCAAAGGTAATCCTATACCGCTGTACTGGCACAGGCGTTACGTAAGTACCTGGTGGATTTATACAAAAACCCCATAAATGGAGAGATTTTCGCAGAGACAAGGATTACATTTTCTGGGAAAAAAGTGGTACTTTGCAGTTTTGCGAAGGTATTTATCATGTCACATGATATGTAAGTAGGCATGTGTTTTCAGTGTCATCTCTTGCATTATTATATTGTTATTTCAATGATAACTAGGTATGTCATAATCTATTAGTTCTTCCTCTATCTTATCGTATATACATCAAATATCCCCTAATTTTTTGAAGATTCGTAATTTTCTTTAGAAGAAAATCAGGATAATGTAGACAGCAGTTTTAAATCACTATCGGTAGAGCTACTAACAACATATCTCCATGGTAACATTTCTAAACACCATTCATTCAAGACCCGCCACGAACAAATTCTAGTCTACTGAGTACTCCATAAACCACATTAAGCTGTAATTAGCCGTAGCACGAGCCACTAAAGCTGTCACTGTATAAATCACAGCTTCGAACACTGCGCAACAAACGCCGGAAACTCGCCATAAAAACAAACAGAGACGCATTCAAAGAAAGCAATGCTATAGAACGAGTGCACTCGTCAATCATGAGCGTATAAACATTTCAATTCGAACTGTGTTAAAAGAGTTTTTACGTTTTTCTAGTTTTCGTAACCTTCGGTTGGGGATTTCGGAATCATTATTGAGGCATAAGAAATCTCTATCAATTCTTATCCGATGCGATTTTTCTACTGATTTGTTCGGTTATATATAACTCACATTTAGGGCATAGGGCATTCAAGTTCAAATCCTTTTTATACATTTTTCACTTTGTCTAACAGAATGTTATATTTTTATCTCGTACCGCATAATGTGCGGAGGGTGTTACAAATTTTTCAGTCATGAGCAACATTCTAAATTGAGATTTATTTAGGCTAACCACTCAACATCAAGGGATTTGACCCTTTTATCTCATTGTCACATGACACAAGATCATGTGGTTGACAGACTCTACTAAAAGCCTGTTAATTAATACGATAACATTCATCATCATGGTTGAAATGGCAAAAATTAAGAAGTCTTCGGTAAATATTTAGCATTATTCCTTGTAGGAAATATTTTCTTTCCCATTCATGGCAATCAGGAAGACAAGATCTATATTTCAGCTTACTAAAATTAAATAGTGGTGTGGTATGACTAACGAAACATATCCCAACTTGTGAATCTTAGGATCTCATTAAGCGTAAAAAAACCTTTACAGACATACTACATTAAGTTCGTATTAAAAATATTAAAGAGAACCTATTAGACAATTTACGAGGGAATTCCAACTACACACTTGGCTGTCTAATCAGCTAACCAGATAGTTGCCGTACATACCTTATACCATCGACATTCCTGGTAGGATCGTGATCAAGCTGTGTTTAGCTTGGAGTTTATTCGTTCCAAGAATATAAGCCAAGAAGCATACGGAATCTCGCAGATTGTAACCTTTGCTAATAACTAAACCAGTTTCTATAGTAGAGAAAATGTTTAAATGGACGTCCAGGACTTCCTAAAAATACGCTGTGGTTTCAAAAAAATAAAGTAAAATATTTGCAACGCCTCGTCTATCTAGACCTTTTGAAGTCAATCACAGACTTAGGATGACTCCTACATTTTAGGTGCCATACATTATCTAATAAGGGACTCACAAAGGAAATCACATATTGAATAGTTCCCGTAATTATATTTCCAGTACTATCTGAACGGAAATGTCTAGCGTTGGCGTGGACCAATGTCACCCGGTCAGTCAGATACCACGATTAATGTGGGCACAGATTGTGTCATTGTCAATTATAGAAAGGGTACTCCCTAGTCCCTAGAACTACTATTCTAAATACTTAGTAGGACAAAAACACCCTAAAAACAATAAAGGAGAATAAAAAAACTAATTTATCATTAAAGAGAGATTAGTTAGAGTACTAGGTATGTTAGTTTCTAGGTCTCTTACCTCGTCTGCGGGCTTGGTGGGTGTGATGGCGACGGTCTCGTTGAAGCATAAGCAGGCGCAGTAATGACGGTTGGCGTCCACATCTGTCAGGACAGACACGTAGAACCGAGGCTCCGTCCGTTCTGTCGAGAGCGCCCATCCTTGCGGCTGGCAGAACTGGTGGAAAAAGACAAATAAATGATGAATTAGAGGAATTCCAGAACAAAAGAAGCAGATATTCGATTACAGCTTGAGTTGACTGAGTTTCAAAATCTGACTGGATACCTATCTGATTAAAATATAGATATGTATGTACCGTATACTGTCTACCTGATGTCTACAGTTTCTATTGCCATCAAAAAGAACGAAATAGAATTTTTTTTTACCTACATAAGATATGGGTACGGAACAAGTCAGAAAAATCTAAACTAAACGATATTCGATTGTTATCCAAATTCATTTCATTCAATTCTTTCTTCGAAGTCCCTGAGGCATTGTTACAAAGTGTACCAAACAAATACAGTTGGAAAGGTCTCTATTTATTTAAGTCTCAACATTCGATCGAAGTTAATAGAGATCCTTCGTTTCAATTACTTATGCGAACTTTGGTCATTCCACGACATTGAACTGGTATTATTGCTGGCCCTTCTCCGAATTGCTTGTCTTGAAGGATAATGCAGACGTGCGCACATTGTAATCAATACTGGCAGACGATGTTTAATTAATGGGTTGATAGTATTATTTAAATGGGTTCTCAGTAGTTTAAAGAACAGACTAGATTTTAGCTTAGGTAGTTTAGATATAAACAGAGCTTCGAAGCTAAAATTTTGGACCAAATAAAAAATAAAATTGCCTAATCGTAACAAGAAAAATATCAGATGTTCCATTATCACACGAAAGTTACGAAAATGTCTTTAGATTTGGTCCCGTCAATAAATCTTTCATTCGAATAAAAAACTTCTGACACTATTCCTTTCCAACCTTTCTAGAATTCTCTTTCGCGAAATTCCGAATCTGAAAACATTCGCCCTTTTACGCGCATTCTACAGCTACTGAGATGCCAATAAAAGGCGTTATTGGCGAAAAGGGCATTTCTACGTAAAAGCTTCAACAATTGAGATTGCCTAGTAACAGTTTCTTTGAGCCTTCTACGTCGTTAGCCGTCCACTTCCATTCGTCTGAGAAGTTGATCGTTTGTTACTTGAAATGGCTTGCAGTTAAAATCACCAATAGACCAGGAACATGAACGGTGGAGTTTATTGCTTTTAGACTAAGATAAATAGGCGTTAGAAAAAATTGTTCCGGAATAAGTGGCACTATTTGTGTATAGCACGCATTAAAGTCTCATGACAGTCATGAATATGTTCGTTTAATCATCAACTTCATTATATCTTGGTATTGAATTTCAGAACAGAAACCAAATCACTTCACCATCCATGTGAGCAAAAGTCAAATTATTGAATTCATTAACAATAGCCGATCAATCAGAGTCACACAGAGGTTCTATGCACGTTGCTATCCAGTACCCAGGGGACACAGCGACGCGTTAATTAATAGTGTCTGTTATAGCACGAACAGGAAAACAACGCTAATTGGTGTCAAAGGACTCACGGGCGCGTGAACATCCCAGTGTCGGGGACAATCTCAAATATCTCACGTGTCTCTAATTATGAGAAGACCTTCAGCCCCTAAGGGACGAACAATTGTGTTATGAAATGGAAATAAATAAGGAACTGTTGCCATGAAGGCCAATCTCAAGTAAGTATCTACCTATTTGAACTATTGAAAACGTACTTGAATGCTGGTACATCATAATGATAACATACTTAAAATGAAAATACGAGTGTATAATTAATATATGAAAGGCAAACACGAAAAATTCACTTCCCATGAATATCATCTCAATATGAATTCTACAATTTCCCGTGGAAACTGCAAAAAACGATTCCGACGAAGATCGTTGTGATTTCCTACAAGAACGAATCCATATGAGAGAATATTTATGGATAACGGCATCTCAGAAACAGTGATGGATCGTTTCCCCGTCTCATTCCAATTTTCCTTAATGTCAACAATTGACAGTTCCTATGTTTTAACAAGCATGTTTTGTTCGATAGGTCTGATATCCGAAGTTAATATAATCTGTTTCTGAGCGATGAAATTCGTCTTAAAGAGACGTCAGTTGTATTTTTACTTGGGAAATCATTTACAGTATCTTTAGTATTATTTGTACGTGGTGAAGTTAAATCGAAACGGAGGTAAGATTGTAATCCTAATTTCCAGATAGAGCAATGTTAATTCAATAATTCGCGGTTGTTCAATTCAATAATTTGCAACGCAACGCGGTTATGTGTTTCGGCCCTTAACTATTACAATGGATCTAACAACTTTAGAAAATTCATCTACGCACCGCATTTGTAAAACAAACTACTTATATGTGGGATGTTATGTATAGTCTTATTGGAAAAGATAGATCATAACATCCGTAATATCGATATGAGTGACGACGGTTGTCAAATTACTCAGCACTCCCTAACTATATGGCAACGGCACCCCTCTGCACAACTAGCGCGTCGCGTAATTAACGACTTGTTGACAAACAATAGACCGATATAATTGGAGTGTTACCGATATTACTAGTGAAGTGTTATTGCATTATCGACTATGATGGCACAATGTCGGTTATTTCTTGTTGGGTAATTGTCTTCATACTTTTTCTTGGTGTCACGGGGTTTTTATTGATTGCAATTAGATTCTATTTAGATTAGGTTGATGTTCCATGGGCTTTTTGTAACAGAATGTGGTATTTCAGAGAGAAGCATGTATTTTTTTGCAAATAAGATCCCAGCTTTAAAAAAACGGTTGAAGATGTTAAAATGATGGACATTGTAAAAGTCGACAAACATAAGATCTGGCATCCTTCTCCTAAAGTTACTTGAAGTTGGAGTGTCAGCACCAATGCACCATAAATGTATTTTCTTCCCACATTCTCAGGAATTAAAAAAAACACTCGATGAAATTATCACTTATTTTATCCCTACTTCTAATTAAAGTCAGAAGCTCTCACTAAGATGAGACAGATGATTACATACCCATCCTATACCGTCGTGGAAGGGTGTGTCGTCCCAGTTGATCTCGGGAAACCGTTGAAGGACAACGCCGCTGTTCAGACCGCCCCCTGAAACAATAAGCAAAGTATAAGGATACTGTAGGTCGACATACCTGATGGTTTTGAGATGCCGGGGTCCAAATATTGAAATTGTTTTGAGGTCTGGGACGTTTAGACGCAGATGTAAAGTTTTAAGAAATCTGAGAGAATTTTGGGATGATATAATTGCAAGTCTCGATTCGGCAACGCAATATTAGTAGTAACAGTTTCTGGGCCATGAACATAGTTAGAATTTGGTTAACCACATTGTCTTTATAGTTCACAGTGGTTTAATGGCACAATGTCAATAGCAAAACAAGTATGTATTAGGAAGATACAGAAGAAAATAAGACGACATAGTTACTTCAAGTTTTAACAGACAGAACCACCTGTCAGGATGTTTAAATATTTATCATAGCGATTAAAATTGATTGCAGTACCAACTGGAACCCCCTCCCCCCCCTTAAACATCTCACGTAATTTATGGTAGGTTTTGGAATGTGTTTATTGTTCGTATAAGTATGTAAGTTTGGTTTTTAGGTAGTTTGGAATAACTTGGTACACAAGTTTTGGCGTATGACTGAGGGCTGATCACCTAAGGACAACGTAATATTTTGTCGACCAAGCTATTCAATTGGATTGTGTTTATGTTAGGTTTGACAGTTAAGAATAATAAATATAGTAGGTACACATGGTAAGGTACAGTTTAGTGTTCATGTCCTTAGTTTGATCATGGTGTAGACGAGCTCTCTCTGTGAAAATTATTGGAGGTCAAGAGAACCTTAATTATTGACACTAAATTTTAATATAGAAATAAATAAAAGTAAGCACAAGTATAATAATGAAATGAAGAATGTTGAATAAATATAATGAAATAAATATAATTAATGAACAGGTACCGGAGAGTCCTGTATAAATGTAATGTGCTTACATGTGTATAATGTTGTTGTGTACCTTACGATAGTGGAAACTTTGAAATAAAATATATTATGTGTACCTAGTTATAAAAGATATAGAAGTTTAGGGTAAAGGAAAGTGATTAAATGATAAATATGAAAAATAAATATGTACGAAGGATAAATTGATAATAGAATTTTAACAAATATTTTGTAATAATTGTCAACAGAGCGACTAATTCTATTTAAAAATATTTTAACAGTTTAATTAAAAAAAAATGTATTAGAATAATTTTTTTTTCCAAAAAACGGGGGAGGTGTAGTGTGTGTGACACCTCGCCCTATAAGTAAGTAGTGTAAGTTAGATATTAAGACACTCAATTAAAGATATTCATAAGAACAACACGTCTCCCTCATTGCTCCACATTGCACCCCCTTAACACCTACTAATACCGATTGACTTTAAATACATTCAAAACCTATCACCTACATCGAAAATATTGTCTTTTCATAACGATTTAACCGTCATGGAAACAATAGCCTATTATAGTTAACACAAAACTTTAATGAAACACAATTATGTAAAACGATTCAAATACCTATGTGGTGGTTAGTACTGTTTTTGATTATGCCTATGATATATATGATGTAGAAAACAAAGGTTCCGGTTCTTGGTGCCCTAAGAACAATGTAATCGTTGTTATATTTATGCAAACTAACGGTTCGACACGCGTATTGTGTACTGGGAGGCCGTGTGCTAGTGATGGGTATGTTAAATGAGAATTTTATCGACGATGTTTGGTTCTGTCACATTTATTAGGGACCTAGCTTCGTAGAGTTAAAACCTAAAGTATGCATTGCAGGGATTAACCCTTTGAGTACCGTCATTACAGACACAATTAAAGAACAATAGGTGTGCGGACACCGGTGTCCTCGCTGTGTTTGACAGTTTAAAATAATTGTAAATCATATGATGGCACTATTAATAAGCTACCTTAGTCCAAAATCTGTGATATGTGGATAAATTTTTTGAGGTCCGTCAAAAATAATATAATATTATAATTCGAACCATTAATGTACTTACAAATAAATTTATAGCGTCAATTTCAATAGAATTAAGAAAGTTGTCGACACTGCGCCTATCACAAAGTCATTGAAATCGAATAGACAACAAACTCTAAATAGACGTTTAGATAGTAAATACATAGTATTCAGAGCAATTGATCAAGCAGCACCAAATCTGCTAAATATCCAGTCTATACAAAAATTACGACCGTGCCGTACACCACTAGGTGTCATTCAGTAGATCACTGATTGTGTCGTCGGGACAATGAATGTGGGGCGTCCGTACTTGCAACACGCTTCAGCTCCTATCAATAGACCGCCAACACCATACACCATATTGGCATTCAATTTCCTTAACATAAGGTTTTCCCAATAAACGGTAAAAAGTGGTAAACAAACAAAAAAGACAAAGCTTACTTTCTCTCGGAAAGAAAAGGACTTCTGTTACACTTTCGGATATTTAATCTTGGGAAAGTTAAGGGATTCATTCCTTCGCTGACAATGAAACGTCCTTGAGTAATGAAATAGAAACTGACTTCTATTATTTGCAAGACCTCGTTACTATCCAAAATGGTTATCAATTTCAAAGAGCTGTTGATCTATAATTATATATACGAACTTTCAAATTTTTCCTTTAAGTAATTCTATGAGCGAAAGAAAAACTTGTTAAATAAAACCTGTTTATTATGCTGTACAAGTCATAAAGCCGCAGGAGAGAAAGTACTAGTACTATTGTACTGGAGAAGACTGAACTGGCACCTTTACATGCTAATCAGCGACATTAAACATTCCACGACTAAAATGAACTAAAACCTAGATACTATTCATCCTAGATTATGAAAGAAAAATTTGCATGGCAGGTCGAAAGCTTAGCAAATTATAATAAGCTTTTAATCTTCCAATTAGAATGGAACAGGAAGTTATGAATATGAAATAATTTATATTATGAATCAATAAATTACTTTTTGGACCGACCTCCTATGAGTGCAATTAATTTAATTATATCAGGCAAATACCGAAAACTCTGAATTATTAGCGAAAGACGAAATACCGCCAAATAGGTACAGCCAACTAAAAGAAAGATCCTTAAAATAATCCAGATTAGGTACAAAAAAAAAAACATAGAACCAATTCACACAAAGACCATTTCATTTTGTTCTTTTCCATTCTTCTTTAAATTCATCCAAAAATGTTCTAGATGACCATTTATATAAAAAAGCTTGGCCTAACAAGCGGTACTTCGGGACAGTTGTCTTTTTACGTCGCCTATTATACGTTGACTAAATATAGACGAGTGGTCGTTAGTCCCAACCGGGTCAAGGACGGTCCCAAATGAGATCATCAATTTTAATTAGACAGCCTTCCTAGAAAACTAGGGTCTGTGATATTTTGTTTGTTGTCTCTAAAAAGAATTTTGTTTGAATTATGTAGTTCAGATTAAAACACATTTTTTTTAAGGGATATTTTCCGCGGGAGACTTTACGGGTTGCCGGGGCTCCGGCTCGAAGTGCAGGAGTAGGAACGGGGTGGTTTTTAGTCAGTAAGAGTCTGAAACTCCCTCCTGCCTCACCCGGGTGGGAGAAGTCATAGGATGATTTTTCCCCCTCAAAAAAAAAAAGAAAAAAAGGGGATATTTTCCTGTTCGCACACTGTCAAATCATTTGATATAACTATGTCCATCTTGAAACAATCTGAAATGTGACTTTTCTATCCTCTTAGGAAAGCTCGTATACCGTAAAGCAAGCAAATAATAATTTATACGACTGTTTACACCAAAAAGTGGTAGTAAATCAGTAGACCCAACTATTTCGTATTTCCGTAACGTTCCGAAATTGGAATACTACTGAACGTGACTGCTTTCCACTCAACTAACTATCGGAAGCCAATTCATCGTTTCCGCACAAAAATATTCCTTGTTGTTAATATTAAAGTGCCATTTAGCGGCCCAATGAATAAAAGATTTGCAAGTTTCTGGCTTACCCGTCCGTTGCTCGTAATTTGCATCATAAATAAACTTCATTGGGTGTTAAAACTTTTTGGAAGAAAAAAGGTTTTCGTAGGCCGTTCAAATAAAAACTTTCACAAGAAATGGGTCTCTTATTTTTCGCTAAAAAAAGTCTACATATAATCCTTTGTACCTAAATTGACGAACCAGAAAAGTCGATTAGAATTAGAGGTAACTATTGATCAAACATTATCAAAAAACAGAAACACTAATGAAAAAGAAGTATGGCAGCCTAATTTAGTATTCATTACAAGTTCTGGGATTCGAGGACATCGTGTAGAACGCCAGTCACGTCCCTGGCAGGCGGTTTTCAAATTATTTAACCATATTACTTACGTCAATATGAGTGGTTTTTCGTTTTTACAGACCTACCGAATATTTGGTTACGCAATGTCATACGTTGAAAGTAGGTATTATTATCTTGTAACTATTATAATTTGACACGATGTTGATCTACATAACATGAGATGGTGATAAACCGGTAGAGTTAATGCGAAAGCAGCTCAATTTGTATTCGAATATAAAATAGAAGTATTTTTGACAGTTGACACGACTAGAGCATTAAGATTGAATCTCAATCAGTTTGTACTTGATTCTAGAATTAGAAATATATTAGTCTAGAATGACCCTAGTTACCAACTCCACATTGTTCGACCATGACAAAGTACCTCGCAATCGTCCTCTTAGTGACTATATTTCGACAACAAAATTGTTCTACTCACGATGAATAGAAATACATAAACCGAATTGTAAAGAGACTTAAGTAATAGCAGCGTAAAATACATACATAAATAAAAATATGAATTCATTACAGTAAACGGCTCACAATTTTAATTAAAATGCACGCGTCTAGACGAATTTTAGCTGGCGTTGTTTTGTTGCATTACGTCATCCGGCAGTCACCGACCATAACCGTAACTGCAAATTGTGATGTCATTTTGTGTATCATGTATTGATTTGGCGTGTTAATGTTAGAACCATGCTGGTATTTGTGGTGTTTTTTTGTCATTCTGCCTCCTTAGTCCTTACAGTCTACCACAGATATAATAAATGAAGTAGCCTAC